ATAATCCTTTTGTTTATACGTCAGTCTTAATGAGATCCCGAGCTTTGTACTAATATTTAGTCAGTTAGTTACGAGTTAGATTTGGCATGAATAAAGCGAATTTTTATGAAGCCATAGTGTTTAAAGCGGTACGAATACATTCATTCATCAAATAGCATGGATAAAATTTGCCGAACACATCTGATTGCTTCAAAGCCCATGACTAAAGTACTCGAAATGTCCGAAGTGGCTGTCGACCATGGGTACCGACACTGACATCCAAAAATTACACCTCGCGCACTCCTGATTAGTGCACAATTGAGCATTTTAGAGTAGGGAGTAGACACAATTATTTTAATATTTTTTGTTGATTTTATTAATTTTCAAAAACTCTACAGCAGCAACAAGAAAAAAGCTAAATATTTTTCTTACATTAACGTGTTTTTATTTCCTTAAAGACTTCCCTAGATAGTTTCTTCATTATTTATATACTTACTCGTTCGCGTTTCTCTTCGGGTGTTTTTTTGCACTTTTATTAGACTTTAAATGCCTCAATTAATCGCTGCAAATTTGGGTTTAGATAGTTTAAATTGCAGAGCGTCTATTAGATTATCTAGCTTCTTCAGTCATTAAATGTCAAGTTTATTGGATGGTCATTTCAGTTATAACGAAGTGTTACAAAGAAGTGGGGCAATCCAGTAACCATATATTATTTAGGCTAAAAAAGGGACTTTCCTTGTGTCACTTTTTATTTTTTTCTGGATTGGATTAATTTGATAAGATGCTACAATTAATAAAAATAAATAGTTTAAATAAAAAAAAAGAATAAGAATAAGAAAACGTTTTAAATAGTTAACTTTGAACCTACTGAACAGTAGATAATTAAAAGGATGTTTTTAAGATATTTTTTTAATGCAACTGCAGCGTCCAGTATTATTAGTTTGGTTATGTTGGATAAATTGTAGACAAGGTTAAGGACGTTTCCAAAAATAGAATAAAAAAAAATAAATTTACTTTTATTTGTTCAATTCCGGCCACATTCATATTTCTTTGGGTCTCTCAGAGATTAGCCCATGTTGGCATTACTTAAGCAGCTGTTGACCGTCAACAACAAGGTGATATTTAATACATCAATAAAGTGAAATAATCTTTGTTGTTGCATTTTCTGATTTGTTTCCTGAATTATTTATATAAGGGGTGTTTTTTTCTATGTTTAGAACTTTAAGTTGCAATAAAACAACGATGGATTATTCGATTGACATGAATTTTATTTATCCGAAAGATAATCTTGTGGCATTACATTTTAAATATGATTTCTGGCATATGTCCGCCACGGCTGGCACGGATGTAGTCCAATCTGGACGTCCAATTTTCGATGACTTTTTCCAACATTTGTGGCCGTATATCGGCAATAACACTGCGAATGTTGTCTTCCAAATGGTCAAGCGTTTGTGGCTTATCCGCATAGACCAATGTAGAAAGCAGTCTAGCGGTGTTAAATCAGAAGATCTTGGAGGCCAATTCACAGGTCCAAAACGTGAAATTAGGTGGTCACCAAACGTGTCTTTCAATAAATTGATTGTGGCACAGAGCTGTGTGACATGTTGCGCCGTCTTGTTGAAACGACATCTCCTGGACATCATGGTTATTCAATTCAGGAATGAAAGAGTTAGTAATCATAGCTCTATACCGATCACCATTGGACTGTAACCTTCTGGCCATCATCGTTTTTGAAGAAGTACGGACCAATGATTCCACCAGCCCATAAAGCACACCAAACAGTCAGTTTTTCTGGATGGAACGGTGTTTCGACATACACTTGAGGATTAGCTTCGCTCCAAATGCGGCAGTTTTGTTTGTTGACGGAGCCATTCAACCAGAAGTGCGCTTCATCGCTAAACAAAATTCGCTTATGAAAATCGGGAACAACGGCAATCTCATTTTGAGCCCATTCGACGAATCTACGCCTTACTTGATCGTTTGGCTTCAATTCTTGCACGAGTTGGATTTTGTAAGCACGTAAACCAAGATTCTTCCGCAAAATCTTCCATAAAGTGGATGGACACAGATCCAATTCTTGTGCTCGATGCGGATGCTACACTCTACAGCAGCAATAGCTTCTTCTGTACGCACCGTACGGCGTCTCTGGGGATGCGAGTTATCAATAAGAGTAAACGTGGTGCGAAAACGTTAATCGAATTAACTGCTCTGATGGACGATTTTGTCGATGATAAAATGGACATAGTGCGCGATACGTATTCCGCACAGAACCATTATATATATATATATATATATATATATATATATATATATATATATATATATATATATATATATATATATATATATATATATATATATATATATATATATATATATATAAATTATAGAGGATCCGGATTTTTGCCATATTATTTTTTTAACTACTAATTTGTGTTATTAACACACGTTACATACATATGTATGTAATACCAAAATACTGTACTTTGCTATTCACAAAAAAAATATAACAAAAAATTAAAACCGGAGCAAATTTATTTATTTCAATTTCCATTTTACAATTGTTGTATTTGAACATTACACGTGATTTAAGAAACACTTCGGTTATTTAAATCCCGAAGTTGCACTTCCTCGGTTGTATGGAAACTTTTAATTGGGGTAATTTATTTAGGCATTAAATTTGTGTCGGAATTATTTAAGCCGGACCTGCGTTACGTCCGGTTTGGTACCTGACCACCTGACTGCGTGCCCGCCACGACCGGAAGGAACAATAAATATATCAATGGTATGCGACCTATTCTGAAAAGTGCACGATCAGATGAAAAATGTGCGTGTTAGTCAGCAGTTTCACTGTCTTTTTCGGTGTCGGCCCGATTGTTAGTCACAAGCCCGTTTCGGTTACGGGTATTTTGACACTTTCCTTGTGAATTGTGGTGATACGCGCACAATCTGCCAGGTTGACAGTGCGACCTCAATCATTTTCTTCGAAGGTAATAGTAATTTATCGCTTTCTATTCTTACATTGTTTAAATTTATCAGTTTAAATTAGGTATTTTTTCTTGTAATGTGGTGTATAATAGTAGGGAGTGTTTTTATTCCTCATTTTTTTTTTGAGAGCTTGTCATGACGAGCCATGTATTTTATAGAAAATCTTCTTCCCATAAGCACCTACATGCAAATCAATGAAAATTCTCTGGATTGACATCTCTAATAAAACTAGTAACATTTCTGTTTTCAAACGGTTTTGGCGTGAAATTTACTTTTTTACTTAATTAAATTTAATTTACTTAAAATTTATGTCTCGATTAATACCAAATTTCAAAATCTTCGCGTTTTGATAATTCTTCGTAACAATTAGTTTATAAAAAATGTGAGCTATCAAAGTTGACCAACTCAGACAGTTTTTGTGCACTAACTGTTCCCAATAAATTTTTGACCTTTGTTCGAAAGTTATTTGGGCGACAGAATGCGGAAGCTGCAGGTGTAAGCTGCCACAAGTTCAAAGAGTAAAGTCGAGTTTGGAATACCTTAAGGAACGGTGATTGTACCAATTTGGTTCCCGGTCTATATAAACGATTTGTTAGTCTTTGTGATTCAGCTTAAAAGTATCATAGAATCTATAATGAAAAATATAAAAATGCGATGCACTTTGCGAAAAATATTACAATATGACATTCTCATTACAATATGACATGTGGCGTTTAGTTATGAGAATATAATTCACCATGCGAAAACCTCTTAGAGACCCCTATTCTATTTTACCTCGAAGCGCCCGTTTTTTAAATTAAGCTATATTCCTACAAAACAAAAACAACCTTTAGAGTTTAGATGGTGTGGTAAACATAATATTCCTAAAACGAAAAAAATTTTTCAAAAAAATGCATTACTTATAAAGCTCCAACAATAAATAATTTACTTCCTTAGACCTAAAAAGTTACTAGTTTACTATTACTAATTTTTTTTACACTTTCCGTATTCAAATACATTTTTCCTCTCTTCTCTAAGATAGATCAAGTGCACAGTCGCTAGTCACTTCTGATTTTTCCGATATTTTAGTCATGGCTGTTTCAGTAGATTTTTGCCAGTACCTTTGTAAGTCATGGTCATGGAACAGGTCACTCAGCTAATGTATTCGTGCTCAGGTAGTTTCGACTTACTTTGCTGTAGAGTAATCCTCCTATCTTGGTAGGTCCACCACTTTTTGGCTCTATGTAAGGAATAGTATATTATGCAACGAGTGCTTTTTCTACGACCGTTAGTTTTTGGGTACATTTTCGCAAAACACGAATACATTCACTGACATGACTGTCACAATTGACAAACGTCAAAATTCAAAGTGTGGGAAATATCTCCGAAAACATCCGATTGCTCCCAATCCCGTGCGGTAAAATCCCGGAAATGTCCGAAGTGGCTCGGACTCGTGGGAAACGAAACTGACGGGGTAAAGCGACGCTTCCCGCACGCTAGATCGGTGCGTAATTAGGTATTTTACAGACGGGAGTAGAAAAATATATTAAGATCTAAATAAAATATTTATTTTTTAAGTTCTCATTTTTATACCAAAACTATAGTGAAACAAAGACATGAATGATTGATTTTTTTTCAAATTAACACAAGTTCCTCGATTGATTCCATCTCCATTACGGATTTCCCTGTATATAAATTCTTGAACGATGATTCATATATCCTACAACAGATTTAAACTATCTTCTATTTAAACCAAACGTATAATTTCCCCCGTATTAATGAAACAAAGGTTTGGTTATGGAAAACTAATATATTTAATTGATTTTTAAGTGAGATTGTTGTTGCATATCCGCATACCACCATATTCCTTTTTACTTAAAGTCGATAAATCGTGCGATTGACGTCTTAAATGCGCTGCTTTAATTACTATTTATAAATATATTTATAACATTTACTTTATGCGTTTTAAATTTTTTATGTCATTAAAATATATCATAAACTGTTAAAACTAATTAAATAAATATTTGTATGTATTTAAATGTTTTTTTTTACAGAAAGCTCCGATGTCAGTGAGTGTTTGGGGAAACAATTGATCAACAGTGGGGAAGAAACGATCATGTGGCTATTAGATGTCCCGAGCTCCCATGACAATGGTAAGTTTGGTTTCTATAACATACTTGAAATAAAATTGCGTAAGTTATATTTTTATATAAAAAGCGCGGGATGTAAGGGAAGTTCATGGTCACAAATTGGATATATTTTTTGTTCTTGTTCTTCTTCCTTTATTTTAGGCGAATCTCCTGTATATCTTTCGTACTTTTGCCCCACTGGTGATTTATCTCTGGCGATTTTTCATAATCTTCTGTCTTCTATTCTACTTCTACTCATTCATTATTTTTTTTATATCCTACACATGTTCCTTACAGGTTACTTTCTCGAGTAACCTTTTCCCAGCTATTGTCTCTGGTGTCGTTTCTGCAGTAAATTTTTGTTGCGCCACACATTCAGGCATCCTGCTACTCTCATTGCTTCCTAACCTCTGCCTCCACATCTCCATGGCTTGAGATCTCTGTATCCAGATATTTGAATTTATTTCCTTGTTGAATAAATTGTACTGTGCGGTTTAGTTGGTATAAAAGGCGCTGTAGATCATCTTCGTTTTCTGGAATTAGTACAGCATCATCGGTATAACACACGATATTAATCTTATATTACTTGACTTTATGGTTTTTAAAAATTACATATCTGCGGTTAATATTGTCCAAAATCGATATTTAACAATTTACTCGGAACCATGTAGTGCAACGTTATTGGTTATTTTGATGATCAAAAAGTCACATTTTCGACGTATTAAAAGTTGAAAAGTCGCGTTTACTGTAGACGCTTAATGCAAGTACCTTCGTATGTGTCCTTCTGATATGCAAATTTCATATAAATGGAGTAAAATCGTTACACCTCACCTAGACTAAGATATTTTTGTCCAGGATAGTCTATACCGCTATATAAACACACTTAACTGATTTCCCCATATCATGTCATGCTTTTTAGGTTCTGCCAAAATGAAAAATCGTTAACCTTATACCTAACCATGGTTTCTTATTATTTATTCGATTGTTTCGTTGAGTGAATCAACCAAGTGGAACATTATACTTATACCCTCAATCACTATTCAAATGTGTGTTGAATTAGCACATATAATTAGAGCAAGGAGATATTTATTATTTAATATTTGTCATTATTTTATGCCTATGGCATATTAATATTATTTTTTTAGTCCATTTTAAAATAAAGATAAAATATCTTTTAGTTAGATTTTCTTTTCCAGAACTTATTTCCTTATGACTCAGATAGTCTTTCATGACATGACATTTTTTCATATAATATGTAGAAGGTGCTAGTTGCTCGCTATTTCATGCAATAATAGTATATTATGCAACAAGTGCGGTAAACGGCATTTGTTGTGTTGCATACTGTACTTTTTCTACGACCGTTAGTTTTTGGGTACATTTTCCACAAACAACTCGAATACATTCACTGACATGGCTGTCAGAATTGACAAACGTCAAAATCCAAAGCGTGGGAAATATCTGCGAAAACATCCGATTGCTCCCAAACCCGTGCGGTAAAATCCCGGAAATGTCCGAAGTGGCTCTGATTCGTGGGAAACGAAACCGACGCTTCCCGCACGCTAGATCGGTGCGTAATTAGGTATTTTACAGTCGGGAGTAGAAAAAATATTTTTTCACTTCACGCCGTTAGTTTTTTTAAGTTATGGTAGGGTCATCATTTCTAAACAAAAAAGTTAAACTACATTTCTTTCGATAAAACATACCGTTTTAGTAAATCGCTGGACCAAAAAAAAAATGTTTACTATGCCATGGACATAATGACATATAATAGATACGATTGTAAAATATCGCTTACCCCACATATACTCAAATTCAATTTTGAAAATACGACTGTATTTATTTATTTAATTGCAATCAACAGACTTCACAGCCCAATGTCAGATTACAAACACAAAAAAAAACACCAGCCCATAAGCAAATACATACTCATCGAAGTGAAATTTACAGATAATACTGAATACAATACTTTAGATTCTAAATCCAAATTTTTTCAAGTGGTTTTTAAATGAATCGGCAGAAGTACAATTAAAAATGTCCATTTCGTTTTTTAGACTGTTCGCTCCTTCTATTTGTGGAATAGGATTTACACTTGAAACTTGTGCTACTTAGGAGAAAAGAACAATCAATTTTAGAATGACCTAATTTATAAAAGAACGTTAATGTAGATATCTATCTTCTGCCTTGATTCTAGCGTTTCATAACGAAATTCTTGAAGTAAAGTTTGATATGGTATGTCAAATATGTTTTGTTATTGTAAAAATTCCATGTTTTTTATAGTATAAAAATCTTAAAAATTTCTTTAGAATTTGTTTCAGAAATCTGTCACTAGCAAGAATGCAAATCGCGATATTCATTATTTAAATATTACTGATGGACCATCACAGTAGCAGTTGGATAATAAGCTCTTTTAATAGAAACTTTTTCAAATTCTATTAAGTCCTGTTATGTGAAATCACATTTAGAGGTAAAATTCGAGCCGAGAATAAAAAATCGATAACACTTATCGACTTAAAACAACAGTAACAATTTTTGAGGATTTGTGATTCCGCTTAAGGCAATCTGTTCTATTTTGCCATATCAATCTAAATAAATAAAATGCAGGGAAAGTAAAAAAAATGTTCCAGGTAAAGTGTCCTCTAGTGACAGATTTCTGAAACATTTTTATGTTGTAACGATGACTTTTCCCACTGACTCGTTACATGTTACGTGCCATTACCATTATTTTACCACGTTAAATCTTGTCATGTCATTTTAAATTGTAGGTGCCTAAGTAAAAAATTATACTAATACCATATTTTTGTTCCTTATTCGTTTAATATAATAATTAATGTGTTTAACAAAACACAAAGAATTTTAGAAGAGTTTCCTGGAATAACGTGGAATTACGAGGAATTTTCCGTAAAAAAGGAATTACGGCATGCATAGCTCTGCGGTTTACCCCTCGTTTTTGCTAATAATATCTATCCAAAGTACAAATAGTTTTTAGGCTTGTCCCCTATTCAGTGTATATGCGTATATTTCAAAAATGTATTGTAATATTGGAATATACTAACAAATTTTCTATTTTCAGATTGCGATAAATTGCTTTGCTTTCGCTATTACGACGCGGCATCGTTAGAGTATTTGGCGCAGTCCGATCCGCTTATTATAAAACACCGTCTGGGCAAACTGAAGAAAACCGCTAAAAGCAAAGGCGAAAGCGGATGCAATGGGATCGAGAACGACGCGTTCGAAGACGAGACCGCCGTTCCGGGTGCCCATTTGGAGTTCAGCCGCGCGTTAAAAAAGTCAAACTCCCTCGAAACTTTGGATTCGTTCAAAACGTCAACATCTACCGAGGATTTGGACATGACCAAGCCGCAAACATCGGGAATGGGGAACAGGTCGCCTATTAACGGATTCCATTTCGATACGGTAGACTGGTGTAAAGAGCGTAGTTCTGGCGACACATCGAACGGACTGGGTAAAGAATACTATCAAATTTGGACGTCCTGTAGCTCGTCGTCGCCTGACGAAGAGAGCAAAAGCCTAGATAGCGCGAACGGAGTGACGGACGAGGCGCCACCTTTACCGCCTAGAAAGTTGCATAGACCGCTTAAGAGGTCACACGCCGTGGGTAAGTCTGGATCGTATGGAAATTTAATTTGAGGCACAATGTTTTTGAGACAGTTGGACAAGGTTTCTTATGTACTGTGGGTACCAGCGACATGGAAAGTTTAAATGTTTATACAGGGTGATTAATTAATGCGCGGTCCCGTTTAAACTACTTATACAAGTTGGTATACCATTTGATTAAATAACGTAACAATTAATACAAGATACACCCAGGTGCAAAAAAAACGAACAATGAAAATTTTGCTATTTGCAAAACTTTTGGATTCCTCCTGCGTCGGTTGCTGTTGAGTCGAACTTCTTCAGAGCTTAAATGAAACTAACTCGCATTCTATTCTGTACCTGCTAATATATTGTTTGTGGGGGGGAGTTCTCTCACAAAATACATTTCACCGCAATCTTCCAAAGACAATGAGTCCGAAAACCACAGTTTCCTTTCTTACATTAAAAACATCACTGACCACAGATCAAAAGTTCTTAAGAAATATAAGGTTGAAACTAGTTTTACCACTTGTCTTCTTTTAAGAAATGTATATATCTAGAAGGTAAATGGGAGCACTAAATTTTAACATAAATGTCAAATAAAAGTAAAATTACGGTTAGATGAGAACATTAAATGGTAAGCCGTCTTGATTTTAAAGTAGAAAAATGTCAATTTTCAACTGTCCATATTTTAAAACCTGATTCACCAATTTAGAAAAAATTAGCAAAGATCTATTCCTCTACAACTTTTGCTTAAAAGGTCCAAAAACGTTCAAATTTATAAAAAATTTCTTCGGATAAAAAATTATGTCCGTTTTTGTGATTGTGTTCGGCAGCTGCCGATGAGTTTATTTGCGTAGTCTTAAGGCTCTTTCATAATCTTTGAACCTAGTTTGTATTTTTCGTCCTGTTTCTCCAATGTATTCTTTGCCGCATATGCATGAAATGCTGTAAACTCCTGGTATCTCAAACTAAATGTTTGAATTTGTCATATTTTCTCTTTGACAGACGAGAAATTTTTGGTTAGTGGAGAATCTGGTTTTGACTTAAGTATTTTTGATATATGGTCAGTGATGTTTTCAATTTAAGGAAGGACAACAGTGGCAAGTGTGGGGTTGCTTTCAGACTCATTTTGTTTGAACGGTTTCTTGTTTTGATTCTGAGTTTAGTGACTCCGGTTGGGATAGTTTTGCGGCGGTTCTGTAAACAAGAGCGTTAATAACAGATGTTTTTTGGGCCGGATGGTGATGTGACATTAAAGTATTTTCTGATTTTCTGATTTTCTATTAATAATAATATCTAAGAATGGCAGATTATTATTATTTTCTAATTGAATGGTAAAAAGTATGTTAGGGTGTATAGAGTTTAACTGGCTAAGAAAATCTAGTTGGGATTTTTTACCATAAAGTCAAATAACACAAGTATCATCAACATAGCGTTTCCATAATTTTGGTTTTAGATGAATTTCGCATAAAATATATTGGCGATGACTGGTGATAACCCATAGCTGTTTCCGAAGTTTGTCGAATGTTTCCATTTTCATTCAAATTGGTGAATTTGAGTTAAATATTTTTGTCTTCATTCCACCAATCCTGGGATCTTTTTAATGAAACTACGCGTGTCAATATTTTTAAATTTAAATCTTTTTTTTTTAATTTCTGTTGCAAAAATTCAAGTGACGGAAACTGATTACTTTTTGCATACACTTCCCTGCAAATCCACTCTGCATCACCACCACCTCCAAAAAAACAGTTTAATTATGCCTTTGTCACTTCCTTCCTTCCTTTCTAGTGAATCATTATCGAGGAATCGACGCTAGTCCGGCGATGCTAGCCAACTCCGCTGTCCTCCCAATGGCAGCTTTCATGCCCTCTGACGACTTCAGAAGACGTACACACAAATTTTGCATTTAAAAATATAAATTATTAGTTACAATAAACCGGTGACTAATGTCTTTTCAAACGGTTTTTTAAAATTAATGTACGTGCAAACTATCGGCAATTGTCTGATAAGAAAGATAAATATTATATAAATGTTACCTTCATATACTTGTATAATGATTGCAGTACATACTTAAGGACGCTTTCATCGCGTCGTCGAAATTTGATTCAACCCACAGTCTAAGTATAACAAATAATGATAATAACCTGACTAATGGCAAAGCGTAAATGATTTGAAAATTTCTATGGAGACTACTAAAATAAAATACATCTCTGTACTGATAAACCCTTGTAAATCGACTATCATGTGCTGGACTATTCTCTCCTGGACTCTTTTAAATTCTGGCATTTAGATTTTCCAGATAGCGGAAATTGTTTCACATACCTCGAAAAAAAAAGGGGGCTTGCATTACTATTAAACAATTTAGACCATTTTTTTTTAGGTTCACGTTTTAATCCACCGGTCGTACAGCGAGAATATAAACCGAAAAAGCCTCAAACCTTGGAAGACACGTTCACGTTTGAATTAATAGACACGGACGAGGAATGCAGTTCTTCTTCGCAGGCATCGACGTCTTACGCCGATTTGCCTTCTAACGCGCCAGTCCAAAAACTAAAAGCGTCTCTCGCCGAAAACGGCAAGAAACTCATCGGTTGTGATAATTACATTAGAACGGTATTAAGTAAAAATTTAGAATCTAGTCCTATAAATGCTCATCAAAGTTTAGAAAGTAATAATAGCAGTTCGACGCAAAGCAGCGGTAGTTCTACCGACGTGGTAGACGGAGAGATTAATAGCGATTTAGCTAGTAAACCTCATAAACCTTTGACCAGACAGGGTTCGTTTCGAAAGCACGAATCAAACGGGGAAGCGATAGGGACTCATACCCCTGTTCGTCAAATTAAAGGAAAAAAAGAAATTAAGGATATCGTCAGGTAAATTAATATCCGCCTTTTGTGCTCGTTTAAAAAAAAACATTCAAAATTTAGGCCGCATCCGAGGGAATTATGTCGCGTGGCTGGTATATGTAGCGGTGCCCCTGTCTGTCCACCGACACCAACTCACCATTCGCGTAAAAACAAATCTGCGGAACTTCGCCCTCCGACCCTCAAATCGACCGACCCTCCGGATTTGGGTGGCGTCGAGGTGTTGCCGCCGCCGGAAGTTAAACAGGCCGATATAAGGCCTTTAGGAACTTTGGAAGGCTCGCAGTGTAGCAGTTCCGAAGAGGCCTTACCCCAAATTAGTTTAATCGCCATATCCGAGCTAAAAAGTAAGGACATGTCCAGGCCTACGCTAAGATCTAGAGTCAATGGCGAAACGAGCGCGTATATGACGTTGCCTTTGCAAAGGTTGTCTACTACGGGCCTGCCCTCGATACCCGAAAGGAAACATCGAAACTTCGCTCTGTCTGAAGTGCTGAATGGCAACGAAGAACCTTTGCCACCATGTAAGTATTACTTACCAAAAGTACCACGCGTCGTCTTTGAAATGTCAACTTTTTTCTAAATATAGATTTCATTTTTTTTGCGTTACTGTTTTCTTTTTTATTTGTTTTGTCTCTAATAAACTCACCGACAAAAAGGGACGGACCCTACATTTTTTTAGTATAGCATAGCATGATTATTTTTCTTTCGCTGAACTATAGGTCAATTCAGATGCAGTTCCTTCTGGTAAAATTTTGATTGCTTTAGCGTTTATATACCGGGGTAAGTCAAAATGGTGTTTTTAGTCCTAACGTTAAAATATCCTGTGCAAAAAGTACGCCAAAAAACCCTCATCGCCCACATCCGCCGAAGCATCTTCCTAAAATCCAAAGAACAAACAAAACAAAAGAAAACAAAAGAACAAAACTTTAGTTTCATGCACAGCAAAGCACATAATGTAAAGTAATTTATAGGTCACACTACAAGTTCAAAGCACATGAACTAACAAAGCTACATGTAGCCTTAGCAGTAAGTACCGAATTACATGGGTAAAATAAAACAGGTGGCAGGAAAATGGGGGAGGGGACGTAAGCATTAATCAGGTCTTAAGTCATTGCCCCACACAACCAATTAATATATGGCTGAGATTATTCACTTCTCCGCATTGGCCCTCACATTAATTAACTTAATCAACACAGAGTAGTTATTTCACGAAAGCAGGGTTTATCCGGAGGGTGCTTATCAAAGCTTTTATAGATTTTTCCTTTCGAGTAATCCATTCTCTAAAAAATTCAGTAAACTGTGGTTTTACATCCAACGACTCCATCTCCCTAGCCAGATTGACCAGACTATCCACAATTTCGCAAGCAAAGAAATATTCGGAACCCTTGGTGAGGCAAAATTTTTAATCCATTTTTAAGTCCTAAAACTATTCTACTCGTTTTGCATTAAAGTTAGTAGACGTCAGACTCTGGAGTGCACTCTTGGAATTAGAGAGCATTACGGCTTTACCTATTTTAAGAGTATGTTAATTGCAGTACATGATTAATTGCTAAAAATTGCCTTAACCTTGATTTAATATTAAGATCCCCCTAATAACCTTGTTCAAACATGGTTTTCAATGAAATCGGTCAGCGCAAAATACTCAAGTTCGCTAGACGTCACTTTCTTAGATTATGTTGACAGTGACTAAAATCTTAATTCACATGGTGTTAACCACTGCATTTGCCCCTTTCATTGGAGAAAAGTTTATACTCATGCAATATAATGTCAGATAGTAAATGAATTTTTGGGATGCATTGAAAAGACGCGTCCCAATAAACCTACAACTGTAGCACAGCTCAGGTTAACATTAAATGAAGAATAAGAAGCCATTCCTCAAGAATAGGTTTTAATTTTCAGTGTTCTAATGACAACTTTAAGTGTCTGAAATAAAAAATGTTTTCAAATGCAGCTGATAAAGGAAACAAGAAAGTCCGTTTGAACAAGATTCATTTGCTTACATTTTTCACAGGGTGTTTTAAACTTAAGACTAAAAATATAATTTTGACTTACCCTCATATAAAAACATTGAAGCAACCAAAATTTCACCAGAAGAAACTGCATCGCAATCTTAAAAAATGACGTACCGTCCATGGAAAAAATAATTGTAAAGTCAAATATAAAAAAATAAAATTATTAATAAAATTTAGGTGCCCATTAACTAACCACCTGCAGTCGTAAAATCCAGGAATATTCCATGATGAAGTATATTTGATAATCCAGGAAAATGACAACATAAATTAATACCATAATTAAAACAAAGATATATATATATATATATATATATATATATATATATATATATATATATATATATATATATATATATATATATATATATATATATATATATATATATATATATATATATATATATATATATATATATATATATATATATATATATATATATATATATATATATATATATATATATATATATATATATATATATATATATATATATATATATATATATATATATATCGGGTGTCCAACAATTTTGGTTAGTGTAATATGTCGACAAGTACGCAATTCATCAAAAAACAAAAAATGCATTTCAATATTGGATAAAACAAAACTGTTCAATAACAACGTGTTAAAATATTTAATATTTATTTATTACATTCATTATATATTACATTTATTAGTGCAAAAATGAGGCCGTAACAGAGAAGTGGGATCAAACATTAATCTTCTATTTTGCAAAATTACAGCGCCATCTCCCGAGAATCAAAAAAATAGCTTCTGGCAAAACCTGATATTTTGTGGAATAGAATGCGAATCTGTAATCGAAAATGATGGTTTCCATTTATTATCTCCCCACTACCAATGTGAAGGGGGTGGGGGGTCAGGTATTTTTCACTGCACTTTTTCTTGTTTTTTGATCATTTGTGTAATTCCTGAGATATACATACGTTTTATACACCCGGTGTATCAAATAAGAATAAAACTAGTAAGTAGGTACATGCTATACATATATAACATATAGTTTATAGTTTTCTGAAGAACTCGTCTTACAGAATAAAAGGCCTTCCCTAGCTGATTTTTTTTAGTTCGTTTCTAAAGCATCTTAGTATCCTAATATTCCTCACCTTAAGTTCAGCATGATGATAAATTTTGATGCCATTGTACATAAATGAATTTCTATCCAGCCTATTGTTAATTAATTAATTAATTAATTTTTATTTAGTTTGTTCCATGATTAGGATCCCCTTGCTGGTGACTGGGACAGTAGTGTTTATTTCTGTGGATTAAGTAAGCAGTTTCGGGGATAAACTGTCGAATATATTCATTTGGGGCTCACTAATAACATCTATTTCGGTTTCCAAATATTTTAATTGAACGACTAATCGTAGCATTATATTGTGCAAAACAAAAGAAGAACGTGCGTCACCACTTGTTGCAGAAAAAAGAATGTCTTGGTGATTTTATTATTTTAAGTTAATGCGCCATCCATTAAAGAGTTTTATAAACTGTGTATGTATGACAGAACGAAAGTAAACTGGGATAACATTGAAATAATCTTTAACTTGTAGGCCTTTTGGTGATTATCAAATTTAATGGTACCTCTGGCGGAAAAAATATTAATCTGCTTTGCAAGTAAAATTTCCAAGAGCGGATTTATTTTCATATAAGATTTATGTTTGCGTTTGCGTTGTATAGTTTATGTTGTACTATTGCTTAAAAAATAGTTCGCGATATTAAATTAATAACCTTTAAATCCCAATCCAACACAAATTGCTCTCTTGCTGGCTGTCATTTAAGAAACAACAATGATCTCGATAACAGTTTTGATGTACATTTTTGTGACCGAATTCACTTTTGGTTTATTTTGAAGTTTATTAGCGGCGTCAGATCAACGGTAGGTCTGGAAAAGTTCCTAAAGTAAGTATTTATTTAACATAAAGAAGCACGATAAATTTAAAATCTTGTGACCAATGGTTTACAATGTGTTTTTGGATAAATGATGATGGCCTTCTTTTAAAAATCAAACACAGCCCGAAAAAACATGTCGGAAACTAGAGCCCCAGAAAGATAAGGTATACCTATGTTAAACTCAACTTGGGCAAAGTAAATATCTCCTGCAATCTTTGTTCCTAGTTAAATTATAGCAAGCAAAACGAACTATTTTTTTTAAATTTATAAATTTGGGTATAAAACTTAATTTCTCCACTCTATGCAAAAATATATCTTTGTGCCATTTGAATGTGATTTATTCTCCCAAAACTCCACTGGATTTGTATTCCTTGTATTTAGTTATTTGTTCATTTTGTTAAGCGTGCCGGTTGGACCACCCGTTAGCGAATAACATCTTTGAATGTTTTAAACAAATTCAAAACATGGGCTGGATGCTTTTTCTTTCAATTACACAAGAGAAATTAAAACAATATTTGCTATTTCACTTGATGGAGCATAAAAACTATCTCATTAAGTTGAAGATGTCCTTGTTAGGTCATTGATTAAATAAAGTTTTGGTGGGTGTAGAAATTTCCTATTCGTTCTGCATTCGTTTTAGCGTGGGAAGCTCGCATGGACAGCCACGGAAGGGTGTTTTATATAGACCATTCTACTCGAACTACCTCCTGGACCAGACCAGGCGGCAGTTCCAGTGGCTTGCCAAATGTAGTAACCGGTGCCGATCAACATCGAAGACAATTAGACAGGCGATACCAAAGCATTAGGAGGACTATAAGTTCGAATCGAATAGAAGGAATCGATTTTTCAGCAGCGCTCCCCCCGGGGTGCAAATTCCTAACTAGACCAGATTTTTTTACACTACTTCATATGAACGACGTACGTGTGTTTCTTTAATGTTTACGTTTTTTAATACAAAATCTCTTCTTCTTATACAGTTACCCCGGGTTAAACGGTAACAAGTTTAGGATAGATTTATATAAAAATGAATTCTTTTTCCTATGAACTTAAATTACTTAAAAGCATCTTTATGAATTTTGGTTAAACTTGTTGATGAAAATTGTTGATTTGAGTTACATGCTATAGTAATAATAAAAACAAGAGATACAAAATAAACTTAAGAGATAAAAAAGTATATTTTGAATTGCTTAATCTACATGCAAACATTTTATTATGATTATTAACTAGACCCAACAATATTTCTTTATTAAAAACATTGACACCCTGTGTTTCTAAAACAGCCAATTATTACCTAAATAATTTACACTAAACATTTGGCATAATAGACACTTATAAACGCTGTTTTTAGGAGGCGCTCACGCTTTATAATGGCAATCCAACATTAAAGCATATGATCGTTAGAATTAGAAGGGACTCCTCCCTATTTGAAAAGTATCAACACAACAAGGAGTTGGTGACTCTAGTCAATTTGTTTGCTGACACAACAAAAGATCTGCCTGAAGGATGGGATACGAAAAAAGACAGAAATGAAAAGGTAGGATTAGATAAAGTTACTTAAAATGATGGGGATCTGTGTGGTGTGTGGTAGGCTGAAAGGGAAATAAAATGGTAATCTTGACATAGTAGGTTTAAAATTTGTTTTATTACTTGGAATGTTTAAATTAATCTTAAAAATCAATTATTTTCATTAAATGATTTTTTAAAAATTTATAAATTGCAATTTCAGGGGTCTAATCTTCTACTTTCCTGCAAGAGCTGCTTGGATTTATAATCTGCCACTAACAAAACGATTTTTTTTTATCAAAAGTTAAATGTTAAGTTTAATATTAAAAACAATTGTAGAGTTTGATATATTTTTGAAACTTACTCATGTTTGGTTTGGTTTATTTCTCGAAAATAATTGAAGATAAAAAAATCTAAGTGTGCCACTGAATTCTGCTTAAAAAAACTGCAACAAACCCTCATTTTACTTTTCTAATAAGATTTAAAATAACCGGTATACGAGGGCTGTCGCAAAATGCAAAGGGATCTTTCTATTTTTACTAATAAGCGAGATACCACGTAAAATCATCGAAAAACACCCGGAACTTTGTATCTCAGTATACTTTGGCACTTTTTTTTTAAAACCCTGGGTAGTGTGGTGACGCTTGTTGTTGCCTATTCTGCTTGTTTAGCGCAACTCTGTAAATTTTAAATTTGAGAATTAATGTTATTAAAAAAATTGTTAAATCATAATTTTCTTTGAAACATTTTTTTTATTTGTAACATTTTACAAATTATTACGCAATAAATTAAACATCAATTAACATACCATTTCTGAGATCAGTTACTTGCAAAAAATGCTTCATCAGTGCATTGAAGAACCTAAAAACATATTTCATTATCAAAGATGTGTTTTAAAAAATTTAAAATTTGACAGTTGCTTGAACAAATTGAGGTTAAGCAATTTTATCGTTTTTAAACTAATGTTTGACTAACAGTACTAACACTCTATTGTTGCTTTGCAAACTAGCCATTCTTCATTGACCATACTAACAAGAAAACTACTTACATGGATCCAAGAGTACCTCTGGACTTTTCTGCAAGAAGGTTCTTTGAGGAGTTACGAGTAAGTAGTGCGTAAAAAATTGTCTTCTTTGGCTTAGTGCCGTAAGAAATAACATTTCGCTTTTGGTTAGTTGCAATAAGTAGTGAAGAAACTCGATGACACGAGGCATTTTTTATAGATTCCCATACCGCCTCCAAGGCCATCAATCGCCACGTTGAACTCGCTCGCCGCAAGCGTCTCGGAAGTTCCCGTCGCGTATAATGACAAAGTGGTGGCGTTTTTGCGGCAACCCAACATTTTTGACATTTTGAAGGAACGACACCCACCAGTTGGAAATTCATCGTCTCTTAGGGATAAAATTAATTCGGTTAGAGTAGACGGTACGACAGCGTTGGACAAGCTGAGTCACGACATCAATCTGACGATTTTGTTGAGGTAAGTGATTGAATATTGTAACGCATGCTGCAATACAAAATATACATAAAGAGGGGTCTATAATGGGGTTTCTATATGATGATTGATATTCAAAGGAGACTTTGTTATTATTTACCAATCAATGTATACAGGGATCCTCCAACTGGATGGCTTATGAGAAGTATATGGAGGATGAAAAGTGATAGGCATTTAAAAATTTATTTACGGATATAGAAGGGTATGATCTCTATTTTAAAAATCTTTGGGACGTTGCAGTGTTGTCACATCACGCCAAGTTCATTTTTTTAAATGGTATGCCATGTACAGGGTTTTGTTTATATTTTGACACCCACCTGCAGTTGTTGATTTTCTCTCCTTCTTCTTCAGAACTTCTTCAGAACTTACCAATAAAAACAAATGAAGTACTCAAATGTATAAAAAGAATTAATAATTTCTCTTTTTTAAATGGAACACCCTCTACATTTCTACTAAGACCAAAGTTTTTGAACCGATTTCTAAAACACCCAATTTGTCGGGATTTGGTTTAGCCGTTGGTTAGTTCCTTGGAAAATAAAACGTTGTTTTGAAGATAAATTTTATTTCCAAAATTAATGGGACAAACAAAAAGTGCGTTAACTTTCTAGAAGATCCCGAGAGATCAATTCCAGATGCTGCAAATTATATGAACAGATTGGTATTATGAAAAATTCATAATACTTTCAAAAAACACCATTTCCAACAACAATTTTACCAAAATTTAACCGACGCCCTGACCGACCAACTTGTATTTTAAGTAGAAATATACAGTGTGTTCCATTTAAAAAAGTGAAGTTGTTAATTTTTTATACATTTGCGGGCGGTCATTCGTGTTTAGTGGTACGTTCAGAAGACAATAGAGAAAAAATAATATAACTTTTATATAAAAAGTTTTTGTCTATTCCCTTTAATTCTTAACTCTCTAGGAGGGTGTGAAAATATAAATGAAAATCCTATACGTTCCATTTTTCTGATTCTATGAAAAATTTTGAAACTTTGTATGTACCATATGTGAAGTATTTTGGAGAAAAATTATTTTTTGAGAAAATTTTGGGAAAAAATCGGTCATGTAAATAATTAACCATCTTTCAACTACAGAATTTGAATCCCTTGTATTTGTTTGCGACAATGAAAAAAAACGATTTATTCTTGATCCAAAAGTATTATATAACATACTATACTTAGTTTGAATCGTTTTGAGGTTAAATTCAAAATTAACAATACTATAAACGATATTGTACCTGCCATAAACAAATAATATCTCAAGAGGATCCAAACTTTTTTGGATTGATTAGTATAAATTATCAAAAAAAAAAAATTTTTAATAAAAGAAACCTAGAATTTTCGAATATAAAACCTCCCATTTTGGTTGATACATTAATAAATCTCCACATCAAAATAACATAAAATTGTTTGATAAATACTAATAAAATTGTCAAAATATATCTCCAAAGCTTACTACTAAAAAGTCATATTTGCTTAAATTGCATTATTCTGTTTTTGCAATTATTATAATTATAATTATAATTATTATATATATAGAGAATTCATTTTGTATACAATTGCTTAAATCTAATGTTATAATATGAAACAGCAACCCATTGGCAATTCAAAAGCAAAATTTCAGATTTGAAAAAAGGATAATATTTTTTATATTTTCTATAAATCCATAACATAAGTTTTACATTTCATTCCATTGGATTCCACTGCATTTGCATTCCATTTGAAACAATGAAGTTGAGTGTTTTGAAATAGACGTGCCACTGCTAGATATTTTAAAGATAGAGATCATAGTGTTCTATGTTCGCAATTTTTAAATAGGCCAAAAAACTTGTCGCATTTTATTGTGTAAGAATTTTATTCTAATTATCTTTGGAATTTTTGACATTTCGAAGCATTGTTAGACTATTTACATTTCAGTAATTTTGTGATTTCGAAAGTTGTTTTTAAATTATCAGCTAGCAAATTTACCAAAAATGCAAAAATAATTTTATCGTATTTAGTGCGCGAAATGAATTGTTGCCATCTTCCTTGTGCCATTGGGTAGAAATAAGTTATGCCTTCACACTTTTTTCCGCTCTTCCATCTTTTAGAGTCTACCATCAATGTGACTTTGTCTTTGTCTTTAAACAAAACTTAATCTATTCTAATGTATTGAAGGAGGTAATATGTCTCTTAAGTGCGCCAAAATAAACAAATGAAATGACAAACGATTCCGGTTTTTAATAAGAATATATGTGGACGGCTTTATTTAATTAATTAATTAATTAAAACAATTTATTTTAATTTTAATAGAATCCGGTTTTAATTTATATAACCTCAATTATCTCAGAAAAATTTGACAGTTCTTATTTTGTTACCTTAACCATGCTTAAGGCAGATGTACTCAATCCTTTTACCAAGTTGGATCGTTTGACAGGTACCGTGGTTGTCCATTTGACAGTGAAATATCCGATGGTGATCATAGTCGTCCTATTTGGACCGAACATATTTTTACATTAAAGAAATATTTTATTTATTTCTTGACCAAACGACTTGAGATAAAAGGTTTAAAGTACCAAACTAATTTTTAAGAGATCTTTTTTATTTTGCTTAAAAATATTTATAAAAGATCGCATATTGGTAGTTTGTGAAAAATACCATCTGAAAAGATAAACGAATAGAGGTAGGTATGTTGTAAGTGTTTATTGATTGTATTTCGTACGATGTCCTTAAAATATAACAACAACACTTTTGTCTTGTTCGAAACATTTTAGCAAGTTTCTAGGTGCAATTTGAAACGTAGTTGTTTATTTCGCTGGCCGTTAATCCCGTAGCGAATAAAGGTCACTCAATCAATGTGACTTTGGGTGTAAATGAGAAATTATCACACACCTTTCAAAACTTCAATACGTTCAATTAGTATCGCGATTAGTTCGAGACTTTGAATCTGCGTTTATTTTCGATTGCTAGCAAAAAATCTAATAAGAATCCTTCATGCTCCGTTACACATTATATTGTATGTAAGCGCATATAGGTATTAACAATGACAAAAGCCGTGTCTGCTTGTAACTTGGAAGAAGTCAGTGCAGTGTTGTCAGTTTTCATCGCTAATTCAACTTGTCTGAAAGGTTGCCAAGTGAAAACTTGGCAAAATACAAGTATTTCTACTAAGTGCCTTAATTTTTTTTGTTTACTTCACTTATCTATTTATTTTTGTTTTGTTTTGTTCGTTTTCATTGATTGAACAATCACTCAGATTTGCAATCTAAAATTTGTTTAATCTATCTGCCTATTAGGAACAAAATAAATCAATAAATTTTAAAATTTGTAAAATTTACCGCATTGGGGGTTGTTTGCGCCACAAAGAGCAAAACACAAACTAGTTACAGAAATGTTATTAATTACAATCATTGTTTGTGTCAGTTTTCCTAAAATTAAAGTACCATTGAATCTATTTTACTCTATTTGGTACTATTTTAGTGAAAAGCAGTGATTCATATAACCAAATTAAAAACTAAATTTTATCAAATGGCATATATTATTGTTTTTTTGGTCTTTTATTCGAAATAAATATCTACCTAGTTTCTAAACTAAAAGAAATTCCCCTCTTAAAAAAGAAATTAGTTCTTATAAGCTAAAAAAGTAGCTAGTTCGGGCATCCCAGTCTTAACACATTCCATATTTCCGTGCAATATCTTTGTGAAGCCATAAAATTTTTCCATTTTATTTTCCTGCGAAATGGTTACTGGATTTTCGTTACTGTTTTTGTTTTGCTATGTCTAGATATTTCTTTAGACATAGTTCATATTCGTTCTAAAAAGAAAAAATCAAATTTATAATCATTGTCGTAGTCATAGTCACTAGTTTGTTGCATCTCAAGATAAAATTGCGTGTGTAATTTTAAATGCGCGTTGATTTCCACAATTTAAGAAGATTAGGCAAATTAACACTTTTGGCTCTTATGTGTTAGATATTTATGAAAAACTTATAAAAATAATAAAAATATATTAAAACTCGTACAGGGTCGTAATTAAAACAAACACAAGGTTAGTTATCAGTTATCAGTTACATCAAAATTGGTGTAAAAACCTGACTACGCACCCTACGTAAAAAAACCTCACCCAGACTATTTAATAAGTTAATACATAATCGGATTACAAAGGATGCCTTAACATGAAAAATTGGAAAAATCACCCTTTATCTAAAATTCCAAAAAAATCCTAAAGTCCCAACAGGTTAGCTTTATTAATAACGGAGATGCGCCCTAAAACTATCAAAAACGGGACCCACACTGTATTTGTATATTCTACTGTTTTTTGATTTTCCCTAAAATAACTAGTCCAATTAATAACATCGAACATGGGAGTCCATTTCACAAATAGACAACAGTTGTTGCGCACAGGTACATAATCTGAAATCTTGAAAATGTCTATAACACTTGTAATGGATGCAAGATAACCTAAAGATTTGGTTTACCGGAGTTAGAATTAACGTATATAAGCCAAAGTGAAATACGTCTAAAAGTGTCATTATGGAAAATAAGTTCTTATTTTTTTAAAAAATTAGAGAAGGTAAAGACATTTTGTACCGCAATTTTTCCAGCTAGATAACAAAGAAAGAAAATAATTTATTCTGGGTCTAAACATCCTTTTTTCACGTATTTGAATATTTACTAGACCACATTTTGTTGCCACGGCAATCTATACAGTCTGTTCATAATAAGGAAGGCTTTTCATTAAATCTTGCAACTTTTTTCTAATTTAACCAACTTCGTATCTCTTATATCTACTTTTGCAATTACCGCAGCAACGCAAGAGCCAATATCTAAATTTTTGAAGCCATTATTTCAACATCATCCCAAACAACTCTATTCTATCGTTTATATTATCAGATATTTATGTTATAAAATCCTTTTTGAACACTGTTGTACGAATTATACAAATTTTGGTTTGTTAGTTAAATATTATCCAAACATGTCGGTTTAAGAGTTTTTCTGTTGTTGT